GACTTTTTCAACTTATCAATGTTTTTCATTCATCGACAAATTTGTCTCTGCAATGGAAGTCCAATAGTAATTTCTTAGCAACAGAATACAATATGCGATAAAATCCAATGATCTAATGTAACATTGTGAAAACCTTTATTCTAAAAATAAGGTCATCATCATATTTAAAAGTTGCTTTGTTTAAATAGTAGATCACGTGCAACATTGCTGTGAGATAAATAAGCATAAATTAAATAGTTTGTATATATATAGGATTTTCTTTAAACTCTAAAGAAAACTGGACAAAGATACTAAAAACAGCTGATATACTTACGACACGTGGACCACCATTTAGTATTCTTGATCTTTGTCGAAGGTTGTGAAAGTGTTGAATGTAAAGAAAGATCTTTATTAACCAAATTGAAACCCTATGGAATTTTCAAGGATTTTGGAAATCAAAAAATTCTACTAAAGATAAGATAAAAATAGTAATGGTCAAAATATTAATAATAGAGATAAAAATAATAACAGAGATGATGATAATAATAATAACAATTTAAATTCATAATTATATAATTCTTCCTTCTACCCCTCCATTAACATCTTCATCAACTTCATCATCAGATTGTTATCAACAACGTCAACAATAATAAAAATCGATTATTTGATACATTAAGTTTATTACAAACAGAAAAACAGCCTGATTTATCATTTGCGATGTCACAAGAAACGCTAACAATTCCAGTTGAATTCTTGGTGGGTAAAATCAGTAAAAATCAAAGTCTAGTTTTCACCAATATAATCAATGATCTTCGTGAAAATCTACCACCAGCTATGAAATATCATTTTCAACAATCTCATGGTGTCGATTGGGCTTATCCAGTAAATGAACCTGAACCATGGAATACAATTACAATTTTTCGATTATTGGATCGTTTCTGGTTTACTACCTTCTCTGATGTGTTTCAAAACTCTCGTACGATGAACGAGATTATTATTAACACGAAAGAGATTCTTGGTAAATGGTATAACGAACCTATAACTGTTCGTGAGGTGATGCAATTCAGACAAAATTCTGAAGCAAT